GTGCAGGTTAACATCAACAATGCCTCGTACCGGGGATGAAAGAAGACCTGGAACCTCACAGCATTTTAGTCTTGATTCATCCTGGTCAGCTTTGCTGAATGCAGCTTGTGCTTGTTGGGTAACACCATGTCCTGATGAGTTCATTATTTTGTGACTAGTTGATGAGCGAGGCACCTATGCCGCATGTGCTATTTGCACACCTACCTATGATCATTTACTGGACCACTTTACACAAGACAATGTAACATGTCTTTTCGGGGCGTCAAATTTTCCTCAGAATCGCGAATGATTTCTTCAGTCGACCAATGAGATCTACTATCATCGGCGGACCCCATTTATACCATTTCAAATCGGACCGTGCCGGATACTACCTTGCGGGACGCGAAATACCCCACCTCCGCAATGGCCCACCCGGTCCCGGGAAACCCCCGATGATTAAAGTCGCCGAGCTGCATTAATCCTTTCCGTTAGAACTTTGGCAGAGCGCCTTGGCCACTCAGCCGCCTCCGGATAACTTACCGACGCGTCACCCATCCCCGGATAGTCAACTGCCGGATTACCTGATGCCGAGTGGTTTGTCAACCTTATCATCGGTTCGATGGGCTGAGTGGACTAGGCCTACAGGCTAAGGTACGCAAGTGAAACATGTTTCCCCGGCTCGACCCTTCCAATGATCATCTATCCACATTCGTGGCTGAGACAGATTTTAGTATGGCGTAGCAACGCCAATTTCACCGTGGCACACCCTAGAGCTATCTGTTGTCGCTTGCCGGTAATGAGCCTGTCAGTCGAATCGCACGGATAGCACTTGATGAGAGAATGTTTCCGAGACCAACTGACAAGGCCCCCCCAGATGACACTAGCGCTTTTGCGGTCGGTCCGTCGATCTCGTGAAAAGGCTGCAAGCCCTTTTTGGAAGAAGCGATCTTAACTCCTAAGAAGGTTACGAGCTAGTAATTCTTTACCAATAGAAGCTCACGCCCTTTTTCACAAGCGCGTTTGGGCAACCCTATGCTTTGAAGACCTTGAACTCATTTTCCATAACCAGATCTCAGCATCCCTTGAGCTTTGACAAGCGGCAGCTGAATCTGGTCTGACAAGAGAGAGAGAGAGAGAGAGAGAGAGAGAGAGGAGGGGAAGGGGGGGGGGGGGAGAGAAGGAGAGGGTGGGTATCATCAGCTCACGGACGGCTCTACATCGACGCCGAATCAACGACTGATCAATAACACGCTGCTAATGTTGCTGTGAGCCCATTTTGAAACATCAGCTGACTACTACAGATGTATTGGAAAGCAGCACGTCTAAGGCTAGGTTCGTGACTCGCCCGCGCAACTTCCGTCTTCCGGAATGCCTCTAGCAAAGCGAAAAAGCGAAGATGAACCTTGTAACAGAAGTATCATAACGTCAAACAATGTTTCAAATTCCCGATCGAGTTGTGATGGAGAATGTTGATTCTGTAATTGTGAGGAGCTTTGCGCCGGGCAGTATTGTCTTAATTCCTTGAATGGCCAACCACTTGCAAACTCTTGAGTGGTCTCGATTGTATAGTAAAATGATGTCAGCTATTGCTTAAGTCTTACGAAATGTACACACAGCCTGCGACGATTGAAGATTTAAGTACCGTCATCGCAGTTAGTCAAAGCCAATTTCTAGCGTATGCTACCTATATTCTAAGAATAAGTAATCCATTCTAATGGGCCGAAAGCTGCAGCCATCGATTGACGCAGCGTGTATGAGTCGGACAGAGAATGAGAGCTCCTTTTTTGAGCTTAAACACCATCCCCTCCTGCGGGGTTACTCGACTAAAAACTTGAAAGACTTTTGAAGAATATCTTCCATGCAGTCTCGGGTGTCTACGCTATGTGCTCTTTGTTGGTAATCATGCTATTTTTAGCAATGTGTCGCGGTCATCAGACGTAGACTTTAATTCTGTTTCATTCCTGTCAACTGGACGTAGGTGGTTCGTGTGTAAAAAGCTTGAAACCAAACCAATTGGATAGTTCAACTTGCCGAAGTTCAGATGGGTTCTCCTGCGCCGAGTGTTGCAGCGACAGGGCGACTTGAACCAAAGTATTCCGGATGGATTCCAGGCACAGCCTCCTATCACAAAGTAATCGATGAAAAGTGAATATCAATAGCGAGCGTCCCTGTGTTCTCTCACTGGTTGATAGCCTCGATATATACCATTAGCCCGAACGATCGAGATTGTCCATGCCTCTTATTCACCCTCCAAAACATCGTGTCTCTTCTCCTAGACACTATCGCTTTTGTGTGTCAGCGTAATGACATGAACGTGGGAGGCATCTTAGCTGCGGTAGAGGACTCCAGATTGGTCATCAGAGTTTTGGATCACTAACACACCTTTAGGATCGAAAACACGATAAACCATCGTCCAACTTGACAAAATGGCAGGATTTTCGTTAATTCGCAGAAAGCCTCCACCACCAAGGCTGAATCTTGACCAAAGGCACCAATATCAGGGACGACAAGTACCCCCACCGCCGCCTCCTCAAGGACCACCGCCTCCTTTACCATCACCGCCGCCCCCAGAAGGACCTCCCCCGAACTCACCACCCCCTCCTCCTCCGCCAGAAGGACCTCCTCCTCCGCCATCGCCACCGCCGCCTCCCCCCCCTGAGGGCCCCCTTGAGGGGCCACCACCACCACCGCCTCCATCACCGCCTCCTCCACCACCTCCCCCTTCCCCTCGACCGCCGCCGCCGCCGCCGCCTCCACCCCCAGGAGGGCCTCCTCTACCCCTTGGACCGCCGCCTCCACCGCCTCCGCAGGCATCGAGAGGCCCAACGAATACCGTCTTTGTCACCTTAGCACCCCCGACAGTGACCATAATCGCAACACAAATCCCAGCAGCTGACCAGAACACGGCATTAGGCAGCGGGGATGGTGTGAAACAATACCAACCACCGGCGATCAACATCAATATGACACAGGGCGTTCCCACCTTCACCGAGGTCGGTATCGCGATTCTTGGCTTTGTATCAGGAATAGGTATGTGGAACAACCATGATAGAATCTGCTCCACATTCTTACATATCCTAACATGGCACTGTTCTCAGTCACCATACTGGTGTTCCTATTGGCCGGATACTTTGTTTGGCGTAGGCGGCGACGTCGTCGTAGGCAGCGTGAGACAGAGCCTGAACCCGAAGTGTTGGACTTACGAGCGTATCAGGGGCCGACACACAATGACGGAAAATTGGGTTGAGATCTGGAGTCTTTTTTCACTGATACTGGACTTTCCATCCGAAACTCTCTTTAGGTTATGGCCTTCTTGATTCTCTCTTCTTCTGCTCAGTATACTTGCAATACTGCCATCTTCGTTGGAGTTGTATAGCGGGCTATGGAAATGCAATCAGATTGATAATGTGGGACGACTCAAAGACAATCCTTTGATATGACACGTATTTTCTCAACAGCCATGCCGTATTGAGACAAAAAATGCTCGTGCCCCTGCGGTGATGAATGCACGGCCTCCGTTCTACTTGCTGTCTGCAGACAGCCTCTGGTAATGGGATGAGACTAAGCACCGATGTAGGTTCTCAGACTCTAGACGTGTTCATCTCAAAAACTAATGCACTTTTAGAAATGGTCTTTCACAGGAGGGGGGGGGGGGGTAAAGACATGTTTTCTGCAGCCTACATGTCCTCATCGAAAAAAACGTGTCGCGTGGGAGAATCTTTGGCACTCCTTCGTGCCTTGGGACAATTCTCCCCAGCGGCCAATCATTATCGCTAGGCTTTTGCAAGTAGCCATCATAATCATAGACAGACGGTTCAGTTGGAGCGTTTCTGAAAATAGAACTTGGGGGATTGACTTGCACGTTTGTCTCACTCTTCATACACGAACCAAAAATAAGCACAGGAGACTTCGTCGGGATGATATTAACTTGACCATTATCAAGAGGCCGGTTTGATCATTCAAGTATGACAAAATAAAGTTGCATGTTGAAGATGTTCGGTCAGGTCGGCCCACATCATGGATCTTCTTTTCCACATGTCAACTCGACATGAGGCTTCGTATTGTTCAATGGTCAGATGCTACCTCATGACTTGGTTCTGTCCCCCGGATTCTCCGACAACATGGGAAAGTCAGTATATCGCGCTGAGTACTCAGTACTGTCACAACGTCGGATTGTCGCATTTGTGCTCGATACGTTCAAAAAGTCGCAATGTTATTGTCTGGGGACTAAGGACGTGATTCAATTGCGTATTGGCGATATCCGAGGGTGGAAAAAGCAGCGAATATCTAATTCGCCAAACACAAGTCAAATTTAAAAAGGTTACATCAATATTCATGCCCTCTTCGTTCGTTGACATGTCAGATAGATGGGAATCGCAAGATGAGCTTTGGGGATCGTTCATATGGAAAGGCCGTTCTGTGCGTGCTCCTATTCACCTGCACACAGGGTATACAAGAGTGGGTTGATTGATTCGGCAGATCCTGGACTTCAAGAGTGCAATTTTTCCCTACTACCCACAGCAGGGATTTGATTCTTTTAACGGCGTCACCGACAAGTTAGGTGTAAAGCCTTACGGCACGAGCTTTCAATTTGCTCGCGCGAGTCAGACGTTCCCCGCAGCGGCCAATCATCGGTACAGCCGACAACTGGACAGGATATTACCGCACTGACAAATTTATGGTAATTGATTAATTCAAGGGATCCTCATACAGCGGCAGGCCCGCCAAGCCACAATGCTGTGGGATGCCAATGGTGAATGATGCTTAATTTGGACACAACGGCTTTGAGCAGAATCCGGCCAAGAGAAGATAAGAACATCAGCGTTTCCAAACATTAGGAAACTTATTGTGCTAGTCACTCACTACTCAACCTATCCTCATTCACGCTCTTTACCCTAACACCACAGTCACAACAACATTGTCCGCTCAGCATCAGATTAACTCATCTGAATCGCCCATTCTACAGCCAACTGCATTCAAACATCAGGAACCAGCTCAGATATCAGAACCATCTCCGTACAATGCCTGTCATCCAACACTTGGCTCGAGCAGCCTACAGCAGCCCCATCCACCACTTGCTAGCTCGCAATGGCGATTCAGATGACGACGACAATGATGGCGGCATCCGCATCATTCCCGGTGGGATAGTCGCCATCATCGTCGTCTGCGTTCTTGCCCTAGTCTCTGTCGTTGCATGCTGCTGTTGCTGCCGGAGGCGAAAGCGCAGGGGAACCGAAGGAGGCAGTAAGGAAGACAACGCCAGCAACGGGAAAAAGACAGACCTCGATCCGACAAAGTACATCAAGAAGGCCATCAAGAAGTTCACGAAGAAGATCAAGAAGATGGTCTCAAAGAAGAATAAGAAGGTGAAGGACGGAGCAGCACCTCGACAAGAAGGATCTCCATACGGTCAAGGAACTCATCCTGGTTATGGGCAGATCGAGCGCTCGATGGGATATAGCGGAGGATATGACAGACTAGATGGCGATAATGAGGAACGGGTTGCATTGTCGTCAGCACCCTACGGAGCGAGAGGAGATCATTAGGGAAGTGATCTAAAATATTACCAAGGATTTGTTTCTATTCACAATGAAATCTCGCCGATAAGCGGATGCGCACTGAAATTTAGCCTGAACTTTGAGAGCAGATGCCACTTGTAGTCTCGACATTGATGATTCTGTTTTCAACGCAATGTTGACCTTCAAAACGTATCCGAAAAATAGGTAGCCAATGCCGCAGGGCTTACAACTTCTCGCTAAGTCTCGAAAGACGAGCAACTCCTGTCGAAGTGGTGAATTAGTTCTCTTTGGAAAAGCGAAAAGTGTGCTGGAAGTACTAGTCGTGGTAGAAGAGCCCGTTATGAAGGAAAACATGGTGCTCAGCGAATGAGAAGGCAGGGAGAGAGGGAAATTAGAAAATATATGTGATTGCTTTAAGGTGAAAGTTAAAACCGCTTAGGGAGCTCCTTCATCCACAAAACTCGGAAAGGCAGCGAAGACTGCCTCACAAAACTTTAAACAAGATAAGCTGGTGTTCCTACCTGGATTAAGTGCATAACCTACTTATACAGACTCAGAGTCAGGTCGAGTAAATGAGCCATTTAAGAGAGAGTAAGTTTGTAAAGCATCAAATAACCCATTCCATGCACCGCAGAAAGTAGAATTGGGTCAGATGGCGTTCACCTTCATTCACTATATCCCCTGAGAGTGGCGTTCTTACTTCTTTCGATATAAGGCACGGGTATCAAGCCATTTGTTTCTTTATAAACTTCAAGAGGGACTGGGGCAAGCAAAGGAGGCCATCGATTCGTTTTCACGTTCTATTTGACCATTGCGGAAACATCAGGGCTAGCCTCAGCAAAGTGACGTTCCTCCTCAACCCACATCACCTCCTCTTGAGTGTTACTCTCCCATGGAGGATGGCGTTACTGTAAAAGTATCTCGAAAACTTCTTGATTATGGTCCAGTGAACACCTAGCAATATGCACGACCAAAAAGCCCATTCCTCCATCGTCACGTCGTGCCCCCCAGGCGACGCAGCTCGGATGACCCGTGGAAAGGCCAACGCATCCGGTAGAGTCTAGGATCTCTTTTCAAGATATGGATCCTCAGACTTGCTTCTCTCCTCGGCAGCTTTCTGTCGTTCTATTGTCATTAGGATAGGAACACTTGAGACGATCTATTTAGCCTCGATAGGCCACGGGACTAATACAGCTCCGCATTTCTCTTATACATATAGACAATTAGCACTGCAGCCCTGCAACAGCACTTTGGAGTCACGAACAGCACCTTGAAGAAAAGATAATCGGGAAGATAAGTAATCAGGTTAGCTGGCACACTCAGCTACGCCCCGCAGATTCCGATAGTAGACAATATATCGGTAGTGGCTTCCTCCTACTTCACGCCGTAACGCCCATTCCGTCCAAACTATCTGCTATCTATGAGAGACTGATCTCACACTTCTCTAAACTCCAAGAACTGCCCACGATGTTCACCGTCGTCAGTGTTGAAAACTCAGGGAGTCTTCGCTAGCACACGCCCCAGAAATTGCCACCTGTTCGCTTTACAGTCAGCGTAGTAGGAAAGGGCACCCTCTAGAACAGCAGAAGTGTCGCTCTACGCAGAATCCGTCATTCGTAAAGTCGCTGAAGCTGGTGGGGTAGCTAAGGATTTAGTAGATCTAATCTCCGCTGACACCAACATCAATCTAGTGTGTCATTGTGTATAAGACTGGGCCTAAACTCTATCGCCGCTTGCTGTTCAACTGATTTCATCTACAATCATCTACGTAGACAACGGCAGTACAACCCACGGCCTCAGTACTAGTATCTATCCCCTAGTGTATGAGTGACATCCGTTAACCTCTTACGCAATACCCATTTTAAGAACTCCTCAACCGGCTGTGCCTTATGGTAGCCTAGTCGTCATTTCCGGCGTGAATGGCTTCATAGGCTCTCACGGTGTATTTCTGGCGTCAAAGCCTGGGTCTGTTTTATCGTTCGTCAGGATCCGGGCGGCGGTGTCATCTGGAGCGCTTCATCAGCAGCTTTTCTTCAACTTTAGTACAAACAAGCATCGCTGATGCGAGTGTAACCACGCGTATAGTGGTATTTTAATATCGAAGCCCAGTCGAGATGTAGTGGCCCGGACCTCGGAGTTCTTAGATTGATTTCATCAGACACGAAGGCATGTGCAGATTCTGAGGCTATCTTGGCTATTGCCGCCAATCACCGCGTTTCATTCGTGCCATCGTTAGCTCAATACATATTGCGAATCTGTGTAACTAGTCAATCTTAGTTCTGGTGTAGCGTCATAAAATCTACTTAGAAGCTCCAGTACTGTTACCTTGGGGAGACACCGTATGGAAAACATTCAACTTCTGTGAATCACTATAGACTGATCGAGTATCTAATCCATAGAGGACTGCATCACCTGCCCCATTTTGGTGATCACTGGCCGCTTAGGACTTGAACCCACCATTGCAAACTACAGGCGAGCTCAAATGGGTGATTGCTGACACTAAACCCTTTTCTCCTGGAGACTGGACTTGCTTAGCGCTGGCGACTGCCTGACCCATTCACCGCCTTTGACCTCATCAACTAACCACCTCGCTAATGCAGCCCTCATTATATGAGCCTTCTATCTAGGCTTCGCAATATACCAAGCATACGTCGGCTGATCCTCACGATCCGCCCTCCAACTAGCCCCGTCCGACTCGCCACTAGTGAAGCCAATTCGAAACAGTATCCAGTACAGCCCGTCCGCCTCCTCCTGAAATCCGCGGCCGAGGTCAATGATTGCATTGTACGCCGCCGACGCGATGATGCGGACGAAGATGGCCAGCAGGAAGCGGGTAAACGAGGACGAGTCTGAGGGTCCGGTTATAGATATCATGCCCGTAGCTAAGACGCCCTTCACACTGTGTTTGCGCATGAGGGGAAAGAGAGCTGAGTAGATGCTCGAGTACGTCATCTTCTCTACGACGCTCGATTGTGTTGGACCCAGAAATGAGGTGATTGTTTTGCTTCTCGCGACGGCGCTTTCGAGCTTGTCAGACTCGTGCATCCACACCTAGATGACCTATCAATAGAGTGAGTTTACTACTCCATGCTCAGAAGAAAGTTCTACAGGCTCCTGGCATACCTGAAGCAGTGGGTTGCTCGCCAAGACGCGTTCCTGACGTAGGGAATGGCCCCACGTTGTCGATGCAGCAACTCTCGAAGCAAAAGGAGACCTGCAGGGCCTGTCGCACCAACTACAAGAACCTTGAGGCCGGCCGTGTTGTTTATGCGAGTAACGAACGGAACTTCGATTTAAGGGAAACACTAACAAGGGCAGCTGGGTATTGATAACTCCACGATCCAGCATGACGTTACCTTCTCCTCACATACAAAGCCGGTCCAGAGATATCTTGTTGTCTCAGCAAGTTGTCAATAAATAGCAGCTGTGTTAATTATAGAGTGCTAACTCCGGAGTATAACCTGGCGGCTTACTTATGTACTTGCAGAATCGAATATCGATTTCAGTCCGCCGCCCCCACTGTCAAAATCGCAAGCTATACTACCCAACGCTCACGTATACTATTGTATCGATAACTAACAATGGTGTCTCAGATACCTGATAGGATTATCAAAGTTTTCGCTTATGCGCACAGATGAATAAGCAGCCCTGTCGCAAGTGGACACTTAAACATAGCAAGAGCAAAGACTAAGGTTTATATGTCACAGTTTAGCATTTCCCAGAGACTCCGCCTACTTGAGTAATCTCATTAGAGCCTCGCCTGCGGAATTCACCTATACTTCCAACATTGACTCTAATCCTCGTATTGTGGAGGGAATTATGTAGCCAACCTGGGCAACATGCAACCAGCCTTCCTCCGTTAGGATCGGAATTTCCATAGCTGGTTTGACCTATTCCATTGAGATAGGGAAGACTCGATTGCGATAGCTAAGCTCATCACCACGATTTTGTCCACGGGAAAAAGATACTAGTAGCTTTTGAAAAGCGAGTTTCGTAACAATAGACCATTCTAGTCGAGATCAAATGGCCCGGTAAAGATCTTTTAGTGGCGGTACAAGAGTTATTAGATTTGCACAATATAACGGGGTGAGTGTATCAAGATAGAAAGCAGAATGTCACGATATAATTGATTATCGATTTGGTTTCTCTTGTTACTCTGTACGAGAGGGGTACTTTCAATAAACTAATAGTATTGAAACCAACTTAAGGGAAGGGGAGCCCATTCCCAGCCACCAATCTAATAGTAATCTGGCCTCCCGTTCGCGTCTGTGATCCACACCACGTGCATGCCTGCAAGGCCATTGATCTATGCCCTCAACCCCAGATGGTATGGAGTACTTTGGCCCAAACTACCACTGGTCTTCTGGTTAGGCCAGGAAGATAACATAGTGAGAGGGAAAATAAATGGAAACGGAAATTAAATATTATGTAACCTCTGATGCTATAACTAACATCCTTACAATCTTGCCAGAGGACGAATATCCCAGGCAACTGCGAATGCTGCTGGATCCTTTGGTTTGAGGTTGTTATTTATGGAAACGACAACCTTGAACGTCTTTCCAGGGACATTCTCCCATATAATCTTCTCAACATTATCTGTCGCACTGTAAGTATTCATATAGTGGGACAGCATTAAATTTCGCTTACTAGTATGGTCGAGCCCAGAGCTCTTCCCCATATTGCCATGTCGCTCAGACCCAGCTGAGAAAACATACAGGTTGATATCATTCTGCAGTTCCCCAAAGATAGACGCTGGATCGGGATATGCGAGAGACACGACCAGCCGGTTCCGACCAGAAGGAATCGGTATCTCAGGACTGGCCCATCTCCTGGCTGCCGCTGGAATCTGTCGCAAAGGGAGCACGTCGAATTGGGTGGCTTCGAAGGCGTTACCGCCCTCCATGAATGATGACTGTCTGATCATAGCGATGGAACTGTCAATATCAACACGTCCAAAACCTTGTTCATAGTCATAGCCGACGCCAAGACCCAGACTTTCGGAATAATTGACGGCGCCGTTGACAAGTAAAGCTTTCACTAGGGCTGCACTTGGGTGCTTCTTGCCTCCCTCTTGTAATGCCTCACGTAGCAAAGCGACACAGCCTGCAACTAGTGGTGTCGACATACTTGTACCAGAGGCATAAATCCAATCGTTGTCATCCGAAGTCCTCCATGTCTTCTTCTTGCGAGAAATTTGACTCAAGGCTCTCGAAGCTGCTGAAAGGACAGCAACACCCGGTGCAACAATGTCTGGCTTGATACGACCTACTGCGGGTGACGTGTTGTCAGATCCGTCCACATGGGGCGATCTGCGTAGGGTTGGACCACGGCTGCTGAAAATTGCAGTTTCGTTGACTTGTGTTCCGGGATCTCCAAGGTCTTGAACCTTGATAAAGTTCTGCCCATCATTTTGTCGCGTCGAGCCTGTCGATCCGACAGTGATACAGTTTTTGGCAGCAGCAGCGGCTCCTATTTGGCCCTTGTTTTCGGTCTTTTGGCCGTTATTACCGGCTGCCATCAACACAATGAAGTCTTGGTGATCATAGACGAAACCATCGATGGCATTTGCTTGGGTTTCATAGCCCAGCTGACCCGTTTCGTCATCCCAGTTCTTGCTCCACGAATTATTATGGATCCGGAATCCTAGGTTATATGGCTTTTTGAATAGCTGCGTAGCCAGATCCAACGGCGTCTCCATCTTCCAGTACTTGCCTGCGGGCTTGTATAACATCAAAGACTGCACCATAAGAGTGGCAGCCGGCGCTGTTCCTCTGACTGTGATAGTGACTGTACCGTTCTCTGGCTCAGTGGTTGTGTAAACACCACTTCCGCAGATGGATGCGCACACATGAGTGCCGTGACCTTCTTCGTCCATGAATTTCTCATATGTAAAGTTCTGGCCTTTGGGGTCATTGGCCCAGACGGAGTCTAAGTGCTGAACACGCCCACAAAGTGCTGGGTGAACTTCAACGCCAGGCTCGTTATTTGACCTTCCCAGGTCGAAACCTGTGTCTGCAACGCAGATACGTTGGTTAGCCCCTTCGTAAGGGCTTGACAAGGTCAAAAGATCGACATTGAGGATTCCGCGCGCCTCGTTGTTAAGCACCTCCACTGGCCGCACCTCTTCAATTCTGCTGATACTATCAAGTTCAGCAATCTCTGAGAGGTTATCTTGATGCACAGTGACTCTGATGATTGAAGGTGAGATTTGAAGATCTTGCAAATCTACTCTGGCTTTCAGTGCGATTGATGTTGCCAGGTTGTCAGCATTGACGTTGGGGCTCTTATGAAGGACACAGTCCACTTCATAGTGCGTCTTTTTGTCGTCCCTCTCGATAAGTTCCTTGAGAGATATAGTGGTTTTCAAATTGGGCAAATATCTGATAGAGTTAGCGATCACTACTCTGCAATGTCAACGACTACTCACGGGATGACACTCTTGACGGAGGCCATAGCCCGAATAGCACTGAGGTCTTTCGGCTCATATCGACATAGGTAGGTATTTCGCGAGACATATTCCAGGATATTGGCTTTACTGTCCTCCAGGTTCTGCTTTTGGCTGGGGGTCAAGTCACTGTGACCCTGGATAAGGATAAAATTGGTGCTCTCTGCATCCTTGGGCACGCTATCAGGCAGCCTGGCGAGGTTGGCTGTGTTGCCGTTGATTTGGACAGTAGCCATCTTTGCATGAAATGGAAAATTGGTCCTGAAAAAGTGGAAAAAGGATGTTGAACCGGAGTGAGGTGACCCTGTATGGAAGATGGAGGTTGGAAGTGAAGTGAGTGGAGAGGAATAGGCCCGGCTAAAGGTGAGCAACCAGCATCGGGTGGCTTTGCGGGTCTCTTTCTCCCTTGATGGCTCGGCGGTATGTACTGACCAACGGCAAAAGGTGTGATTGCCAATCTCAGCTCTTTGAGCTGAGTAGGTATGCATCGTGATCGAAACAACAGCTGAATACCAGGGTTAGGTCTAGAGCATAGGTGGCGGCCTGAGATGTGCAGGACTAAAGGCAATAGCCTGAGACAATGGACATGGGCTAGCCGATTCTGGCCCATGTACTTACTTATGCATAAGCGCCTCGGAGTGGTAACCCTAGTCCAAAGAACAGGGGTGAAGCTTAACCAAAGCAAGTCGGTGGTTATTGCGACGAACAGTGAACTGAAGCGATCCACATAGTGAGTAAATGCACGGTACAGCTAGTCTTTCAAGTTAAACATGACAGACTACCGGCATTAATCTTCAACATGAATTAAGAGCGTAAATCCCAGCATATCCTAATTTCTAGATAATGTGGAAATATCCATAAGGTCTAACTCCTTTTGCAGTAAAGCTATTATAGAACCTTGTTGTTGGCTGGGCCTTTCTGACCAGACAGCGCAAACACTTCTGTATCGAGAAACTGCCTCACCCCATCATCGCCCTCCCATTTCTTACCCTCCAGCTTCTTTTCTGCGAGAGCCTTACACCTGTCAACGGCGTCACGACAACCAATCATATTATTCCACTGTTCTAGATTATCTAAATGTTCCGGATCCGGAATACGATCAAAGAAGTGGTCGTAATGCTTATGTGAAGCACTGTCTTGGCCGTAATAAGTGTGGAAGATCTGAATAGGTCCCCAACGATCCGCTGTCCCGTCTTTGAACTTGAGGGGGTCTGGAGAAGAGAAGAAGTGTAAGCAGTGGAAATTGGATGGGCCTAATGATGATCCTTACCGTCTGATACCTTGTCCTTTTCGTTCAGCAGTTCACGCTTCGCATGGCCAATAGCATACGAGTCTTGGATAACATGAAACATACTGCCGAGTGCGCGTCGCCCGATGTCAAGGCCCTTGTACTTCGAGTCCTTGGACAATAGATAGGATAGAGACAGCCAATTCGGCGGGAGAGAATCATCAGGAAACAAAACGCCAAGAGGTGATTGGGAGACCACAGTGCTGGGGGTAATCTTGTCATCTTCGCCGGTTGCCAGCTTGTACATAACTTCCATCCAGGTCATGATCTTTGTTTTTGTGACTTCAGGCTCTTCATCTCTGTCAGATGCCATACAGTGAAGAAACTGAAGGTCACCATAGTGTGAGCGACCAGTGACATTTTTCATCCTAGTAAAGCCAAGGTTGTTTGGGTTCCACTCCTTTTCTGCTGACTTGAACTTCAGTGCCCAGTCAAAGCCGATTGTGTATGAATGGTTTGAGTCGCGATTGTCTGAAAAGAGTTGACAATCAGGATCGTCGTTCCACACTGCTCCGCGAATGTGCTCCCAGTCGTCGTCGGTGGCGCTCTCAAGGATTGTGCCCTGTGGGGTCCCAGATTTGCTGCTGATTAGAGCAGACAAGGTGAGAGACTCATGGAATGGTTTGCCGATGCTCCCATTCCAAAGTCCTCCACTGACTGACATTTGGGGTGTGACCTCTTCCCCAGCTTGACCTCTGGTGTCTGCATTTTCGTGATCTGCTGAGGTTGCCATGGTTGGTACTCGTCGCTGGAATCTTTTGCTGATGCAAGAAGCTGAAAAGACAAGTCTGACATGCAAATGTGTATACTACAATTCACAACCTATATAACTTATTGCTCTGGGCTGCAAGCACGCTGGAATCAGCTATGGCAGTCAAGACACTCCGAAAGCAGGGTTGACGCCGTGCGAGTGCATGGGAGGCCATTCACGACTAGTGTGCGGGTCATTATCTTTCAGCTGACCTCGCCTGAGCCATCAATGATTCAGCTGCCAGTCTAACTGCAGCCCAGATGAATTCCCGAGTCTTGTTTTGAATTTGTGCTCCGGATCATCCGTCGTGATCGCGATAGCCAAGGAGAGTGGTGGGCAGGTCCTGGTCAAGAATTAGATGTGATTGCTGTGCCTCGAAAATCGAAAGGTTAACACTACTAAGTGACCAAATATTTGCGAAACACCTTGCGAAGGCAAAATTCCGCTAGAGTGGCTGGCTGAAAGCGGAGCGACCGTAGGCGCGAGTCTCGACCCAATAGCCCCGTGGCTGGACCGTCCCGCCCGCCACATTCCGGGGCACTAGCCTATCGGATAACTCTAGTTGATGTATCTAGACAAACCACCATGCAAACTAACCCGAATTGAACAGAGCTGTGGTATGTATCATTGTGGCATTGTGCCATAATCAGGTGCAGTGGTATAATGGGTAATTAAGATAATTGGCTCAGATGGATTTGTTGAGAAGCACAGTTGGCAGCCAATATGACTGCACAACCCCGCTCTATCAGGTAAGTGCCTGGGTACAAAACTATCAGTGAAACTATTGATGCAGAAGCTGCCTCCAAGCATCCCAGCTGATCTCTCACCTCACATATGGCTGAGGTCGTGTTGTCTCAGGTCATGTAAGCCATGCTGGTAATGGCGAGATATACTCAAGTGAAGACTCTAGATCCACCTTGTGGTGATGTGATAGGTATAGCAGCCACCTGAATCACGGCATATGGCTTGGAAGTCTCGCGAGATCCTGCTTACATTGTCTCACAGCTTCGCCGAGTCCTCCTATCATGGCCTGCTGAATGTATCAAAGAAGTGAAGAGAAAGCTATCTACCCCTCAATGAGCAGTTCACTTTGCGTATAAATAGCCCCTGGATTCGACTTTCTAATGAGAATTTATGATCATCAAGAAACACTTCTTCGACTACCTCCACGAAAAAGACAAGCGCCTTCACGTAAACCTTATCTTCCCCTTACATCTTCACAATGGCCGAACAGACCTCTGCTCCCTGGAAAGAGTCCGAGTCCAAGGGCGGACAGAAGTACCAGGTTTCTGCCTCTCACTACGATATTACCGACCAGAGCGGCGACGCCCCTGCTGCCAACGGCCCCCCTTTCAATGTCCAGGTTGACTGGAGACTGAACACCGAGGGCTCACCCTCCCAAGAGATCCGAAACAAGACGGGCATTACCTACTACAAGCTCGAGGAGGCTCCCTGGTACTCGGTCAAGAAGTACCGCTTGACTATCTCGACCACTGACTCCTACAACTATACCTTCTTCGACAACGAGCCGGATCAATATGGCCTGAATGTCTTTCGAACCAATGGCCTTCACTATGTCGAATATAACTCCAAGGACCCCAGAATCACGAGTATTACCGGCAAATAAGTTAAATTTTAATGCCTATCAGGAGGGGCAAGCGGCTTTGAACGAAGTCGAGTTCGATCACGGAAGGAGACGTCGAAAATTATTGGTGGGGGTTGGGGGGGGGGGGGGGAGGAGAGGGGGCATGTAGTCTATCTGGTGGTATTCAGATAGCTAATAGGATATCTTAAACATCGCACATCGACACTCTTACCCTGGGAAGCATACTGCTGATTCTACAATTCTTGATTAACGTCTAGAAGTGAACTTGTGAGGCCAAAACAGGTTGTCGACCCCCTATGAAACTGGCGCTAAGTATTAAGAGTCTAGCCCTCGTGAGTCCACGTAGGGGTAATTTTAGTATATAGAATTTAAGCTAAGGAATAGAGACTTTTAGAATAAGGATTTTATAAAAAAAAAGCGCTTAAATAGGACTTTTATAAAAATAGTATAATAAGCCGTAATAATATTTAAACTAAGGCTCGGATTTATTAATTAAGTTTAGTTTATAATATATACCTCTTATTTTATTTTTAAAATAAATTTATTACTAATCCGTTTTTTAATTATAAGTATTCTAAGTAATTAATTATTTTATTTTAATTCGCTAGTTTAGCTTTTTATTACTTTTTTTATTAATTTTTATTAACCCCCCTTTTTTTATTAAAAACTTTTTTTTTTAACTTTTATATAACGATTTATAAATACTCTATTTTATTTATTTTTTTACCTTTTTATTACTTAATTTTTATTAATTTATTATAAAGATTTAATTTTTAATTAACTTACCGTTTTTATTATTATTTTTTATATATATAACCTCTTTTTTATATTCGCGCGTTTATACGTACTTAAAAACCTTTTTTTAACTTAAAAAATAATTAAATAAATATTTTATATACTACTATTATTATATTTTTTATATATTATTACTCCGTTATTTTTTAATTTTTTTATTATTATTAATACTCTAATAATTTATCCTCGTAAATATATTTATTATTATTATTATTCTTACTATTATTATTATTATTATACCCCCCGCTATTATTACTAAGCTTATTAAGCCCCCCGTACTATTTAATAATAGGGAGGGTAAAAATAATAAAAAGTTAAAATTTAATTTTAATTTTAACTTATTTAAGCCCCCCTCTAAGAACGAGTTAAATATTAAAATAATATATTAAACCTCTATAGTATATTTATTTATTATTTATAAGTATTATTAATTTAAACTTAGGAAATACTTAATAAAAAGGGTAAAAAAAAAGAGAAAAAAAAGAAAAAAAAGAGTATAAGCTTAAAGAGCCTGTTATACTTAGTATTTTATACAAGGAACCCTATTTTTTTATTTATAAATATTAATTAAAAGTAGTAATACCTTAGTTAGCGTTAGCTATTACGATTATTTTTATATACTAAGCTATTATTATTTACCTATTTTTTAATTATTAATTTATTATAAAACTAAAGGTATTATATATTATGCCGCTTATATTAACCTTAGGGTTAATTATTATTATAACTTTATAAATTTATTATTATTATTTTTTATTTATTTTATAATTATTAATTATTATTTATAGCTCTTTAATTATATTAAAGCTATTTAAATAGAGTATATTTAGGTTTTTTAAGATTATTATAAGCTCCCCCCTCTAGTTCCTATAGCTATTTTTAAATTTTAATTTATTATAAGTCCGCTTTTTATCTATTTTTTATATATTACTAATTTATTTTATTTTTATAATTAGTTTAATAAGCTCTTAAGTATTTTTAGCTATTTATATATTACTATTATTATTTAAATTAAGGCTAAGAATAAAAAAGCTTATATTTATTATAATACCCGCGCTACTATTATTTTTTTTATTACTAAATTATTTACTATTTATATAACCCTTATACTTATTATTATTACTAAGGGTATAGTTTTTTTTATTATAAAAGAGGCTCGTATTTTTAATAAGTATTACTAGGCCTTTATTTCTCTTTTTATTATTATAAATAATCTTTATATATTCTTTATATTTATAATTAATATATTTTTAGGCCGTAGCTCGTAATAACTTACTTTTTTTTATTTAAATTAAGAAAAATAATTAACTTTTAGTTTTTAAACTTTAAATAGCCCTTTTTTATATTTATAATATTATTATTAGTTTTATTATATTATACCCTGCGTATTACGGCCAGCTAGTCGTAATAAGTATATTAACAAAAGTTAAGGCTACGATAACTAAATAAATAGTATCATAATCGTAAATAGCTTCCCTAAAGTTATATTTATAAGTCGTAAAATAAATAAAGTTTTAATAATTAATTATAGTCTTATTAAGAGAAGTTCTTAATAAAAATAGTTAAAAGCGATCATAAGATTTAATACTAAGTTAATTACTAAAGAAGTTATGGGAAGTTTATTTTTAAGCCCGGCTTAAGTCTATATTATATATAAGTTTTATTTATAAATATATTTTTTATAATATTATTATTTATAATTATTTAACTATTTATTAAATAGTTGTTCGTCTTATTTATATATAATTATCCGTTTTATTTTTTTATAAACGTCCGTTTTTTATTTTATTATATGATCGTAGTTACGTAATTTATTTATAGTTTTTTTATTCCGAGAGGAGTTATTTTAGGTTTGTTTTTTTTATATATATAGTATAGTAGCTATTATAAGTCTTATAGAGTAGCCCCTAGCTTTGTTATATTTATTAAGTTGTAATATTAGCTTCTTTTTTTAAAAGTTTAGTCCTCTAGGCCTATAAATAAGTTATCTATTCCTAAGTTAGGGAATTGTTAAATTTATTCTATTAAAAAATATACTAATATAATATTAAGTCGAATTAAAAAATCGAAATCTTAAGTAGCCGTATCTCGTTATAAGCTATTACGTATTATTTATTTTTTTAATAAAAATATAGAAATAATACTTTATTTAAATTATCGCTCGCGTAGTATTTAGTATTTAGTTTTTTTTAATTTTAATGTTTATAAAATATATTATTGTTTAAGTATATTATATAATATTTTTATTAATACTATTTATACTCGTAAGTAATCGTAATCCTTATTTAATAATCTAAGTTAATTTAGTATAATTAATCGTTTTATAATAGAATCTAATTAATTAGATCGTAAAGAGTAGGTAGAAGAGTTACGCTTTTAAAAAAAGGTTATAAAGTTATAAAAAAAAGCTAAGGCTTATTAAAGGGCTTAAGCTAAGTTAAATAAATTGTTATTTAAACTAGAGCGTCTTCGTATTTAAAAATAAATAGTATTTAAAAAGAGTCGTATTATATTAAAGGAATTTTTTAAAGATATTAAAAATACTTTATTAACGGCCCGCGAGGTATAAGTTAATAGTGCT